CAGTTCCCACGGCTGCCACGCATAGACACACAGTTATATACAGCATGTAAATGGTTTGCTTCTGTAGTATATATTCTAAATACATGCTTGAGATGTAATATAAATGTAGAATGCCAATAAATTCGCTCAGAAACTCAAGCTTCATACAAACAAGAAAATCATGTAATACTGGTATTGCCGGCGCATCTTTGCATTATACAATATCTTGGCTACTTGTATGAGTTTATATCATTATGTTTAGAAGAGCAAGATCTCAAGGTCCCTGATTGCAAGCCTCCTGCACATTTAAGATTGTCTCAGCAAGATCCTGGGCCAATTCAAGTTCCTCTGCCTTCATCAAGGAAGACAGGAGAAAGAGAGGATGCACCAGATGAAATGCACAAAGGTGGCTGCACACAAGTGGAAGACAGCAAAAGCTGACATGATGCAGCAGGCACCTGTCACAGTTGGGAGTGCCAGGGTGCCAACAAGCTGCAGAAGGTGCAGCACTGCAACGTTCTATGTGCACCTTTGAGTGGCTGCACCCAGATGGACCATCTCATACCTATCTGAGGGTTTGTCCACCAGTGTGCATATTGTGAAATACCTCGGCGTGGACACCCTGGAGGTGGCATTAGGCTATCTGGAGGCCTCATAGCACTCCACCATACTCACACATCATCAGGCTACCCCAGCTCATAGGCTCTGATGCCACCTCACACTCCAGAGAAGCCAAGCATGGTACCCCGACCATCTGCTGGCTTGAAATCCATAACATTTCCATGCACGCTAGCTAGCTTGAGGGTGCCACTTGTACATGCAACTCTAAGTTGAAATTGGTTGATTTGTGTGATATTTACCAGGGGAGGACTGGTCTGAACTGGTCTGAACTGGTCTTAGACTGAATTCAGTCCTAGACCGGTTATGGCTGGTCTTGGACTGCAAGGAGGACTGCACAGGACCAGGACCTGGTCTTAGTCCGGTCCTGCACAAACTTGTGCTGGTCCTTGAGCAGTCAAAGTCCTGGTCCGACACAATTTCTGAAAAAGACCGGACTGGACCGGACTCTCAACCACTAGTCAAAGGTCATCAGCAAAAAAATCGGTTATAGATCAGGGATGAGTTGCCAGGCAAGCGCCTAACAGGATGGCGAACGCTGGCAATGCAAGGACACGCGATACCTGACTGGTATTGCATTGCAAATCGTAACTCAGACCGGTATGTTATTATAAGTTGAATCCTATCCTGATACCACTAAACATGACATGAGTTGCTCACCCAGATCTCGGTTATGACATGACGTCATCCGTCTTGCTTTCCGAGACGTGTTTCTTGCCGCCCATCGCATCCATGCCGTCTGCCTACCAAGATTCCTTCGACCTCCCCTGAAGTCACTCCCGGCGAGTTTCCTTTTATGAAACTGCATATATAGAAGGCGTCGATGGCCTTCCGTTCTCGCCGCTTCTTCCTCCTGGTCACCACCATACCCCGCCTCTGCTTACTCCCTCCGAACAGTATCTCCGCCGTGTCTCGCTAAGCTCAATATGTCACAAACGTATGTATATGCAATTTTTCTCTCATGCTGCAGTGCACCTGACTACATGTATTCGTACGCGTGACAGCTGCGGCACCAACTCCTGCCTGTCCATACAGTTTGCAAGGGTTCTTCAATGCGGGGTGGCGGCTCGAGCATCCAAGGTCTGTTGAGATTATCCTGCATATATGTGTCTCTGACACAGGACCCTTCCGCATCGCTCTCAATGTGACATGTAGAGTATGTGACATGCATATATGCGCTTGATTCCTTGATGTTCTCATGTACAGGCCCTCGTAAGACATCGCCCTTTCATTCAGTAGGCGGTGCCTGCTTGTATCGCAGCACCCCAACCTACGACTCTGCCCAGTCCGTCTTGCAACGGCGAGCGCGTTAGCGTCAACTCACGGGGTGTAGGTCTTTCTGAGTCAGTCTTTAAAACCTCGCATACTGACAGTGCTCCTACAGGCTGTACGGCCCGTTCTTGTGCTTCGGGATCCGCGAAATATCCTCACAGTACGCATTGCAGTCTGCGGGTGTCTACGTACATAGGTATTTATGTGCATAACTCGTCTAGGGTACAAGTCACGCGCATCGTGCACTAAGTATACGGCCGCTCCGGAGACAGCCTTTTTTGTCTGACGCTCACATTCACTGCAAAAGCGCTACCCTTTGGACGCCGTTGTATTTTATCTACGAGTTTTGTACCTATTGTAGTTTTGTGAATATATAAATTGCTATCTTAAATTTTTATGTGTGAGCTGGCCCCCAAAAATCTGATTATTGAATAAATCTTGCGAGCGCCCTGGCAAATGCCACCCAGCCTGGCGCTCCCTGGTAATGCATTGCCAACCTTAACTGAATGATAAAGGTCCCCAGGCTGGTAAGCCTTAGAAATCATACAGGTGCTCTATCTACTATGGCAATGGCAATCTCAGGGTGGGTTGACTTATATTCATGGGTGCCTTTATCTAGCTTGGCCAGATTAGATCATTGGGTAATTTTTTTGCTGATGGTAGAGCGACATAGAGAGGTAACGGTCGAGCACGAAGGTGGTCACTCCGCACTTTTGAAGGTCAGGTGAGCAGATCTCAAGACTGGAAGCTACCTAGCATCAGCAGTAGTGTTAGCGAGGGCGATAGAGCGGCCTACGCCAATACTCCTTGTTATTCCTTTCAGGTGCCCCGAGCGCAAGTGGCCTGAGCTTCATCCTAAGGGACCGCTGGGCCTAGGGAACGAACAGCCGAGACTGAGACTCGCTTAACTTTGGGAACAGTATCTTGAGTAGCTATCTGCTCCACGTCAGCCCCTTCAACGCTCCTTTTTCTCGTTTAATCTCTTCGTTCTCAGCAGGCGGCTTTTTCTGTGCTGCAACATCTATACGAGAATTGCGCTTACGAACATGTCCATCTCGAGGTTGGGCACCGGTGTCAGCAGAGCTTGCCACCAACTATCCAAAGACCAGCTGAGGCTGAGCGGTGTACCGGATTTGCATGTGCTCGTTTACCATAGGTATTAGCGTACTGGCCGGTCGCCTTTAGAAACTACGCACTTGCAACCTTCGGCTACAACGCAGGAATGAGAGTGAAGCAAGTACGAATTTGCGGCAGAAAGCTGCAGATGAAGAGTCTCCGGCAGCCTGGCTGTGGACGAACCGAAGCGGGCAAGAAGCCTAAGGGCATCCAGGAAACTGTAGCGAGCCTGAAATGACTGAGGATGCTGCGGCAGACCAGCGAGCATATCGGAGAGCTACAACTTCCGTATAGGTGTCAAAGAACCACTGCAGAGCGTATACGTGAGCGGATAGCATCCCAAGCCTAAGCGCGGAGCCAGACGGTGTTATGCAGCGGGTCAGGAATGTTGAGGGCCCAGAGTCGGAGGATGGTCACGAGAGTACAGACCAGGGGTCTGAAACAGAGAAACTAGACGAAAGTACCAGGCTCTGAGATCATAGAATGTCACTCCCTGCCACACGGGGCTAATTTTATACTATTTTGCACGGATAGAGGTACAAAAACGCATTCAGTTTGTTTCATAAATACACTCAAGCTACTTCCCCATGGGGGTGTTATTGTTTTAATGGTACTAAAACATACACTGCTTTTACACCTTTTGAGGGATTAGAAGAGTCGAAATATCCTCGGGGTGAAATCATCATGATTTCTTTCTCCATATCTTCCCCAAAAAAGTTCCCTCCAGGTGAGACAAAAAGAACAGACTTATTTTGTGGTTCCCGTCTCTGCAAAATATGAGGTAGAAAAGCTGGACTTTTATCAGGGAAACTGGTATGGAAAAAACTGATATTTCTTTTCAGACATAAGATTGATCGCTCACTCATGGCCTATTACCCCCCTCTCGTCGTCCGCTGTGCGCCCACTCATTGCCCTGCGCACTGATGGCCACTTGCTAGGAAATCGCCCACACATCACCCACACATTGCCCACTCATCGCCGAAACAGTGGTGGTCACTTACCAGTAAATTGCCGCTTACTAACAATGCATGACCACTTAAACAAGACCTTTTCTCCAACGCGCGGCACCACCCACTGCTCGACGGCGGGCTGCTCACGCTGCGCGCGCACTGCGACGCCACGGCGCTCGTGCGTGCGTACCGCGTGCTCTGCAGGTGCAGCCTCGGCGCGGAGCTCCTTGCGAGTGTCGCCGCCGTCGCGCCGCGTGATGCCGCATCCAGCGAGGACGCGAGCGACGGCAACAACAAGCTTCCCACCGCCAACGCAAACGTGCACTCGTGGGACGAAAATGGCAGCGACAGCGAGGACGCATAGCTCGGCACCGAGATCCGTGCAGGCCGCTGCAAGGCGGGGAGCGTGCGCAGCGTCGAGGTGCGCGTCGAGGAACCCGACGTGGACGCCAGGGCCGATCATGCCTCTGTTATGACAGAGGTTTCTTAGCAAGCCTGAGGCTTGTCTGATCGCCTTATCCGCAGATGAGGTTAGAGCAGAATAAAGAAACGTGAATTTACGAAAGAGCTGAAAGCTGGGGTGCTACTGTACATGCGCGGGGTATTTATACTACTGCTCAGCCTAACCTAAGGAATAGTCTACTAGTCAAAGGGACTGCGGGTGAGTCAGTGAAGCTGCGCTCTATGAGTCGACGAAGGCAGTACTACTAAACTAGAGTCAGAGACGAAATTAGAAATGATATCCCATGCCACCATGCCCATCATAACAGCCTCCCTTGGTCGCGCACACGACAGGCCGCTGCACGCGCTGCGCACGGCGGCATTCACGAGCCGCGACAGCTTCGCGCCGAGCAGCCTCATGGCAACGCCCGAGGTGTGGGACGTGAGCGAGATTGACGTCGGGCAGGTCTTCCTCCGCGCGGTCTCGTACCGGCTGCCCGTGCGCGTGGGCCCCAACGACAAGATCCTCGGGAGCATCATGCACCCCGCCGTGCGTGACTGGCAGCCAGCGCCCGAGCTTCCCACGCCAGAGAGGAGGACGGCGAAGCAGATCGTCGTCGGCATCCTCGCGAACGTCTGACGGGTGGTCGCTTCCGTCTTCGCTTGTTCCTGCTGCACTTCTCTTCGGTTCTCTTCTCACCATTTTTAATTCCGAGTTCTCGCCCTTCCACCGCTCGTCGTGTGTCTACTCGCATCGCCCGACCCGCTCACGTTTGCGGGCGCTGTTCAGGCAACCGGTGGGTAGATCAGTGGGTGACTAGTGGGTGACCAATGGGCGACCAGTGAATGTGTCAGAGGGCACACACGGCGACGCCAAAAAATAGTTAATGTATTTGTATTACAGTCTTTTTGTGACAAAAGTAAGCTCTCCCATTTAAGCAAATAGATAGTAGACATATACTTTTTTTGTACCTATCTCAATAGAAAATATATCTATATTCTATATATGGATAGCTCAGTGGTATTTTTTACCCCTTTTTGCTGCAAGCAGAGCA